CAAGCGATTTCACGACAAAAACAGACAAAGAGAACGCGAAGGTGAAGAGTAGCGGCTGCCAAGTTGCGCACTGCATACTCTCAACGGAAACAGAAATCATATTATAGAAATTATATTATATTATATTATATTATATTATAATGTGTAGGGTCAACCTACAGTTTGCATTTCTGATTTGCTGCTAGTGGGGCAGAAATACACACTTTCTTCTTTTTTTTTATGTAGATGAAAAATTTCTGAGATGCAATATTCAAACAGTCTCTGACTTTCCAAATCAGGTTTTGTTGCTCGCTCTGAGATGCTTGTTGAAACCACAGTCATCCCGAGTGCATTATGTGTGCTTGTATGTTTTTTTTTTTCTGTGATATTTGCTAAACCTCCTAAACTCACACAGGGGTCAGAGGTTAGTATGTATAGGGTCGCAGGGATGTAGAGAAGGAGGAGCTGATAGTGGGAGAGAGGGAGGTGTGTTTAGTCTGTACAGAGGAAGTCCAACTGCTCCCTATGAACTACATTACTATCACAGACGTTGTAAGGGTATTTGGAAAGTCACTCACCCCTTCAGAGGCCTGTTGTTTCCCACGCTGCCTTCCCATGCTCCCCGTACTTACTTCATATTTGCACGTCTATAAATAAAGCTCCTCCCGACCAGAAGCGTTTGATAAACTGGTCCGGAGATGCACATGGGCTGCTGTTAACCAAAGGTCATTAGCCTTTCCTGCAATATGTGCTAATAGAGCATGGTAGGACACTATTGGACGAATTAAGACTACAGTGTGTCTATATAGAAGTGCTGTGCCAGAAACATACAACTATGTGAATACTTGAACAATGAATATGTTACATTTCAGTAATTCAGTACATTTCATGTAATAATAACACACAAAATCGAGCTTGCTTAGCTAGTCTTGTGATTGTGTTCACATTTAGGGGATTTAGGGCTTCACATCTTTCATCTACTGCTTGTTTTTCTTCCAGCTCATGCCACCCAGTAGCAACACCTCATATAAACAATGCTGTCTTTGTCCAGAATGCTGTGAACTGTTGTTCTGCATTGTAATTTGTGTCGCTAACTGAATAATTTTGCATATTGATTACTCACGGTCCCCTTTTGGCCTTCTGTTTGTGCCCTTTTTATGGGAAACAATTTGTTAGTCTTATTAGACTTCCATGTTTCTATTTAGAAAATTCTATTTAGGTTATTTTCAAATTAGTGGACAAAAACCGACTCTGCCCCTTTTGGGAAATGATAATCATTATATTTAAAGTGTTTTTTTTTTTCTTGGTTGTGGTGGGGGGAAAACATTGTAGCTGTTTCTATAAAACAACAACTTTAAGCAGAAGCTATCCAATTGCATCGGCAGTGGTCTGAACTAACACACAAGTGGTAAGTGGTAACCTACTATGGCTAGCATGATTTATCTGTGCTTATGAGTTTGGACTAGTAGATATATGTTTAGTTAGTTAGTTATGATCAATATATACAAAATATATACAAAAAGTTCATACATACTGGGGGCTTTTTTCAAAGAAATTAATACTTGCATCAGAAATGAATGATGCATTAAATTGTTCAAAAGTGACTGTAAAGATTTTAAATTAATAAAAAAAAACTTTTTTATTTTATTTTGTTTTTTCAAATAAATGCTGTTTTCTATTTCTATTCATCAAAAAATCCTAAAAAAATCTATCACGAATCCACAAAAATATTGAGCAGCACAACTGTTTCCAACATTGATGATAATAATAATAATAATAATAATAATGTTTCTTGAGCAGCAAATCAGCATATTAGAATGATTTCTGAAATGATGATTTCTGATTTCTGAGTAATGATGCTGAAAATTTTGCTTTGTATCACAGGAATAAATTACATTTTAAAATATATTTAAATAGAAAACATTTATTTTAAATTGTAATAATATTTTACAATATTACAGTTTTTACTGTATTTTTGATCAAGTAAATCCAGCCTTGCATGAGAGATTTATGTCAAAGAAATCAAAATTTTTTTTTTTTTACTGAATTTTACTTATAATTTTTTTAATTTACTTTTGGACAGTGTAGGACAGTTGTAGAAGTGACATGAAGCGAAATGGGAGAGAGAGGGGGGAGGGTGGAATCAGGAAAGGTCCTCAAGCCGGGATTCAAACTCAGGACGCCCGCAACGCAACGGCACACTATATGTCAGCAAGCTGGCCACAAGGCTATCGGCGCCGACCTTACCCCAAACTTTTGAACAGTACTGTAGTGTATAATAAATATATAGTTTTTTGTTTTGTTTTGTTTTTAACCGTTTACATTAGACATTTTAGAATTTACATGATTCGGATTTAAATAATTTATTGTTCTCTCGTTCTTTTTTTCTCTCTGTATTTCTTGCTTCTGGACTAATCTACAAAACTGGCAACAGCAGATATATTACTAGCTCTTGAATGATGAAATGCTTCATAAGTCTTGAATAAAAGTGTCATTTAAATAGCTAAATGTAATTATTTTAAGCGAAGGCATTAAAACTTGATTAATTTACAGTAAAAAAACGATACTAATATTGACTAATATTGACATTGTTGCCCTGTTTTCCTGGGCATCATTTTGGAGGCCATGCAAAGGCTTGCTTTGTTTTCAGGTGGGCTCGTCGTCCCCTACTCAGAGCATCCATGAAATGATGTCATGGAAACGGGTGTGTGCAGCGGAGAGCAGCAGGACTTCTTCTCTCATTGGCTGAGCCTGAGCCTTATCTGCGCTCCCTCTTTTGCCTTCAGCGAGGGTGCTGGCTGCATGTGTTCAGTCAGTCTCTAACAGAAGACACAATAGAAGATGTTCATTATCCTTTATTTAACCAGTGATTTCTGATATTCAGTGGTTCTGAGACATGGTATGTAATTTGTGCTGTGTAATTCATCTTTAATGCCAAAGAGAGTGATAATACTATTCTAGTCATTGAGGTTGTGCATAATTGATAAAAATCATTGTGGATCATTTAGGTTTTTAATTTAGTCATTGACCATGCATATATATTTTGATCAGCGAACTGTACAGTTTGAGAGAAAAAGCTTGGTTAATACTAAAAGGAGCAAAATGCATGCATGCTGACAGGAAACGCTAACATCTGTTTGTGTGTGGAGGGGTGTTGCTATAGAGACACAGGCAGGTAAGGACATTGAGGAAGTGCAGACGAAGCTGGTAGAGGAAGATTCAGCCAGAAAGAGGTCATGAGTTGATTGGGCACCTCTTGCTGTTCGTTTTCAAAGAAAAGACTGCATGAGTATTACAGTAGATCAGTGACAGGAAAAACTTGTTGCCTGCCAAGCATTTGGCCCATCTCTCACACTTAGTGTTAATTTACAGACCTGGGAATAATGCCACAAGACTCTCCGGTGAGGGTAAGCATTTTATTCTTTCAAAGTGAGGTGAGCGTCAGACCTTGTTGTGGTGTTTCGAGTCTGAGGTTTGCACTTGTTTGTCTGTGTAAATGTGTTCACGCTTAATTTGATGTTAATTGTGGTTGTCCCTGATGAGCTACTTCGTTCAGAGAGTAGAGGTTAAGTTTAGAGTTACCCCGAGCCATCAATAGGGTCATGGCTTACCATGTTCCTCTGTCTTTGCCATTTATACAGTCATGGATGATTACAGAGGAAGTAGCTGTCACTTGCTAAACAGTCTTATCTCTACTGCAGAGCAATGGTGTTTGATGAGATGATATTGCAGACTAAGTATCATTGGCAGCTGGTCACAATCTGTGACGATGTACTTGTGTATTATTGTATCATTGACATGTTTTTAGTTAATTCCCATTTATTTACTGAGAATTTCCTATTTCACAAAAGTCGTAAAATTGTTAAAGGGGACATATTAATTTAAACTTCTGATATACGGTTTTCTGATCGCGCACATCCGAAGCAAGCGCACAGAAAGTGGCTGTCACACGGCATGTGAATACTTTTCTTTCATGTATTATTGCACTAAAACTCAAATACACACAAATTTACGTTAAAAACACACAAGTTATAAAAACAGTGAGTTATGTCTTTGAAACAGCTGGAAAAGAAATTGCATGTTTATATTAGATCTGTGTGGCAGCAGCGTAATATTCAGTAAATCAATAAATCCACTGCCCTCTTGTCTCCTCTGAGGCTGGGACTCTAAATAGTGTTCTGTGCTCGTGAGTGCAGCCAAAGACAGAACAGTTAGCATGCTTTGATTGAACTTTCGCCATGCCGAAACACACCGTTGTTGCTTGCGAAACATAATGGCAGTGCCATTGGTGGAAACTTGCAGATAAAGGGGCGGTAATATTATAATAAGATCCCCTTACCACGTCATGGGGGAGCGAAATCTGAGTGACTCATTTTTTCACAAACTTGCAAAGAAAGGCTTACCAAAAACAATTTACTGGGTTGTTCTTTTTCACATTTTCTGGGTTGGTAGATGCACCGGAGACCCTATTATAGCACTTAACAAAGAAAAAGTCAGATTTTCATAAGTCACCTTTAATGATCCCAATAACATTGTGTAAAAATATAATTTCCTTTTTCATTTTGGGGTAAAATATAGTTTGTGGCAGGTTTCATGAAATTTATCTTATAAGGATATTACTCATGACACCATAAGTATTTAAACTCTGCACTAAGTTCTTTTATCAGTCTCTGCTTATCTTTTAATGATTGAAACACCAGCTGCCTGATCACAAGAATCCTGACCCTTACCTCATCTGAATGCCACAAACACTTCTGCAGTTTAGCTCAGGGAAAAGAATGACACTGCAGCTTCTGCTGGTATTCTGGCCAGACGGATTGATAAGACATCCTGGAACTGCCTGTGTTCTGCCTGGACAGATATCTTCTGTCTGTATTGATCTGGCACCCAGAAAGTCAAACAACACAGCACTATAATTAACTTAACTTCTTGGCTTTGCACTGTGGTTATGCTTAGAGTCAAGATGTCATCTCCAGTTAACTATAAAATTTGATTTTGATCTTGTTTGTTCCCAATTACAGATTATCTCCTGTTTGGCAACTGAAGTGACGGCCATCAAGACTGGACAGAGTCGGGCTGAATCTGAGCAAAATCTGGTTGAACCAGGAACCTTTTAGGACTTGTTAGAAGAAAACAACTTATTATTGAAACCACAACAGCACCAGTCAAACGCAACTGGGTTTGTGAGTTGTGCAAACCAAGATGCCCATCTTAAAGCAGCTGGTGTTGGGGTCTCAGACCAAACGGCGATCTCGTATGGACCTCACTACTGAGATGATCAGCGCTCCCTTGGGTGACTTCCGGCACACCATGCATGTAGGGCGCAGCGGGGAAGCTTTCGGAGACACATCTTTCCTCAGCACTCGATCTGGAGAGCCATCCCAAGAAGGCCACACCTATCCTCGCTCTCCAAAACCGGGACTGCTGTCTCGTACCTTCTGGAGCAGCAAGCGCTCTCAGTCGGTCACCAGAGTAGACCAGCGAGACAATACCCTCTTTCCTCCCAGCGAGTCACCTACCTTTGTGAAGAATGCCATGTCCTTGCCCTTTCTGAACAATGAAGAAGGACCGGAGGGAGACAAGAGGGTGCTCAAGAGCTTGACCTCCAGCCCCTCCAATGGGGCCTCTGTTGAAGCATTGGACTTGGAGCTACATGAGAAGCAATTTGGGGTGTTGACCGACCTGCGACCTTCCCCATCTTACAACGGGGGAGGATTGAAGAAAGCTGAATCTGTGATGTCATTCCATGTTGATCTTGGGCCCTCGATGCTGGGGGACATCCTGGGGGTCATGGAGAAGGAAGATGATGACCAGGGGTTTGAAGAAGGCAAGAGCAGTGAGGGACATGCATCTCCTCTTCACTGCAACCTGGGAGGAGTGGAAATGGATGAGGAAATGAGGGAGGTTGTTGTGAAAGAAGAGGAACTAGAGGGGTTAGTCGCTCACAGTGAGGGTCCCATGAGGGCTCCCAGCTCTGTTGACTTGGAGATACAGAGTGAAGGCACCAGCACCCCAGAACCACACCACAAACACCTGCATCACCTCGACAGCTGCTCAGTTTCCAGCTCAGGTTCAGCTGCCTTGGAGGAGAAACCAACCAGTGAGCCTTACGAGGAAGATATTGGAGTTACCGACAACATCTGCAACCCAGACAATGAACCAGCCTTCTCCTCCTTCATGGAAGATGAGGATGATGAGATTCGAGTATGAAACCCTACAATCAGCAAACCTTTCTGAGGATGGAGAGATAAATATCTCAGACTAGAATTTGACATTGTGTAAAGAGGAGAAATGCGGTGTAGATGTAAGCATGTCAAAGCTGGACAGATGCCTCAGGTTCCTGTGTCCCTGTAGAGATAAGTTGGGGAGACTGCTTTAGCTCAGACACCAAAGCCATCTGTCACACTACTGACCCATGCTAAGATGAGCAGCTGGATGGTGTTGAAAATGTGTCCAAAAGAGACCTGCTACACTGATAGCTCTGCAAAAGGAAAGACATGCATAGGGGATACATACATCACCAAAACCGAATTTTCCCATAGTCCCATGCGGGGTTCCCACAGTTGTAAGCTGGAAATATCAGGGAATTTTATAAAATGTAATGGTCATGGATTTTTTCCAAGTTATTCTCAGCTTTAAAATACGTTGTTTGTGAAAAATTGCGTTTTGTGTTCTCAATGAAATTGTTAAAAAAAAATCCTTACCTGGTAATCACAAGCAACTAGAATGGTCATGTAAATTCATTGGTCAAAAGATGTGGGAACCCTGCCCATGACTTGGTGCCTAAATATAATGGTTCTTTTGATTTAGAGCACTAGCGTATTAAATTAAATCATATGATTTGTTCAGTGGCCCTCTGCATAAAGGTACAATATATTTTCAAAGTTAATATCAGCACTCTGCCATTGTCAGAAAAGTAACACTGTGTTAGGAGAGAGCTCTTATGAGATGATCCAAATGTTTTATCATACACATTCTTGGGGTAGCATTGTCAAAGCCCTACAAATACTTTATCTTTAGATTACACATAATTCAGTCATGCATCCGGTAAAACTGTAATTTTAAGAGCTACTGTGGTTCAGAAGCTCAGGAAACGTCCTTGTGCAGCTGATTACACACTGCGCTGGTCTGAGCTCGAATGCTGATGATTTGAAGGTGGTGGATGTTTGAGAACCTCTCCAGAAACTGATCATAGTCCACTTTTGGGAAGAGTGGCAACAGGTGTCCCTCCATCAGATCTCCTTTTTCAGTCTGTACGTGTTTTGCATAGTAGTTGTTTGCTCAGTATCTTGCATATCTCACCACTTCCTTCCTGCACTTCATGGCGTGCGAGGGGAACTGCTGTTTATTGCTGGAGTTTTTGATCAGTTTGATTGTAGCTGTCATTGAAACATTTAAACCGTTGGATAAACAATATGTGTCATGTCAAGTACAACTAAAAAGTAATTTGTGTTAAGTCATGTCTTTTAGTAAACATGAACATGTCGGTTTTATTAATTGTGTTAACTCTGACATTAGCAAATTATTGCACTGGTATTGCTCCTCAGTAAATTCACTGGGGTGCTTTAATACACTGTTGAGCAAAGACACTAAAATTCATTGATTCCGTTTGATCTTTTGACTTTTTCATTGTGTACATAATAATAATAATAATTCCTTACATTTATATAGTGCTTTTCTGGGCACTCAAAGCGCTTTACATAGTAGGGGGAATCTCCTCAACCACCACCAGTGTGCAGCATCCACCTGGATGATGCGACGGCAGCCATATTGCGCCAGAACGCCCACCACACACCAGCTTATTGGTGGAGAGGAGAAGCCAATCAGCAGATATGGGGATGGTTAGGAGGCCATGATGGTCAGATGCCAATGGGCGAATTTGGCCAGAATGCCAGGGTTACACCCCTACTCTTTTTCGAAGGACATCCTGGGATTTTTAATGACCACAGAGAGTCAGGACCTCGGTTTAACGTCTCAACCGAAGGACGGTGCTTTTTGACAGTATAGTGTCCCCATCACTATACTGGGGCATTAGGACCCACACAGACCACAGGGTGAGCACCCCCTGCTGGCCTCACTAACACCTCTTCCAGCAGCAACCTAGGTCTCCCATCCAGGTACTGACCAGGCTCAACCCTGCTTAGCTTCAGTGGGCAACCAGTCTTGGGCTGCAGGGTGACATGGCTCCTGGCATATATATGTCTACATACAGTATAGCAGATGATCATTACTAAAATGAGGCCTTTATTACTGCAGACCTTCATGTGTGAATTAACTGCAGTAGTCTGCAAGCTTACTGTCTCTATTAAAGATCAGGCACTGTGAAGACATGTCTTCGACGTCAAGACTACAGTAAGAATTTACCGGGAATTCTCAGCTGCTTCACACTTGGGTCACGTCAGCCTTAAGCAAAAAAGTGCCAAATCTAATCTAGCATGTACTGCCTAGTAAGCCTGACTTTTGAATATCATTTAACATGGTGAATGAATTAGGTTTTGCCTTAATTTCAGATATGGGCCAAACAATCCATCTTGTTTTGATTACTGTAGACAGAAATGCTTAGTAAGAATTTACCTAATTTGCTTCAAGATGAGCCTCAGGGAGAGAGAAAAAGACATGAGGTTAGCATTCTGTTTTATTTGCATAGCCTTGTGCTAGCAGTCCATTTTAAATTTAGCAAGACAAAAACAAGTAAAAAGAGAGAAGTCTGTTTATATCTGAAATTGTGTGGCTGTGTGTGAAGTGGATTTAGCGAAGTTTATCTTCATGTTTTCAGTCTATGTGATAATAGTGCTGTTTGTCTCGCCTATCTTTGCTACAATTTCTATGTTCATCATGTACATATTCATGCTTGCCAGCCTTTTCAAGGCTATAACCGCTATATTTTTAAATAAAAGAAAACGTCCACAAAAGTGTCTTTAGCTTCATTTCAGAAATGTTTTCCTTGTAACATTAGGCTATTTCATGATGTATTGTGTAAGTTGCTTAAAATGTTATTTCATCCAAAAATGAAAATGCTGTCATTAATTACCCTCGTGTCATTCCAGACCCGTAGGACCTTCGGACCGTAGGACCTTTGAAACACAAATTATTATATTTTTGATGAAATCCAAGACCTTTCTGACCCTCCACAGACAGCAACGGAATAACTACCACATTCAAGACCCAGAAGGACATTGTTAAAAAAGTCCATGTGACATTAGTGGTCTTTGTGCACAAAAAGTATTCTTGTAGCTTCATAAAATGACCACTGATGTCACAGGCCTATATTAACAATGTCTTTACTACGTTTCTGTGTTTTGAACGTGGTAGTACCCTTGCTGTCTATGCAGGATCAGAAAGCTCTCGGATTGCATTAAAAATATTCATTTGTGTTCCAAAGATGAACGGAGGTCTTACAGGTTTGGAACGATTAACAGAATTGTCAGTTAAAAATGGTCATTTTTGGATGAACTATCCCTTTAAGTTTGAAATTATCAAGAAGAAAATACAAAAGTGACCATTTGGGTTCAGTGGAATCGATAATAAACAAACTTTTTGATTTTGGTTTATTTGAGCAGGAGTTGAATTTTAAGCTTGAAGTTGCTATGAGTTCTAGATTGGCGCTCTGCATAGATGGGCACAGATCCGTTGACTAATTCAATAAACCTAGGCCTACCCGAGGCTGAGGGAAGCTCAGCCTTTGTCAACACATGCTGCTAAAGACCTCCTGTGATGACTGACCACATGCAGCTCTTTTAATCGGATCACTGCGACTGCAGACCTACATGAAAGTTTCATGTGAGTAAAAATAATTCACACTCAGTCATTTAACTGATATCAGCGCTCACATTTAGCTCTTTTCTCACATACTGTAGCTGCCTGCGTGTTGTCTTCAGGTGAAAACCAAACGCCCCGTATTCCCAGCTCAAATTTACGAGTGATTATGTATTGATTTGAGTGTTAAAAGCAACGTGGTTTGATTGATCTGCCTGCTGCCCTACAAAGTTTGTTAGGTGTTAATGTTCCTTCGGTTCAGATAAAAGAGAATTTTATGAATCTTGGCTTGACAAAAAATCCATTATTTCATGTACACGCTGCGTGTATAAAATGTGGATACATCCTGCCACCTAGTGGCTAGCTGCATACACAACATCACTTTTTCTCATTCCATGCCACTCTTACCAGGGCATGATCAAAACCTTTCTTCAGCAGTATTTTAGTGTTTTGTTTGTGACACGAAATAATTGTGCTTTGCAAATGCATTGCATTTAGAACTGGTTAGAAGTGGTTCTCAACCGGGGGCCTAAAAAGTTAATTAATACATTAATAAATCATTATTAAATATTCAAATAATCTAAAATAAAATAATCACATAAAATCACAGTGTAAACCTAAATCACTTTTCTTTTAATTTCCCCTCAATAACTATAATTTCTATTGAAGAACATAGTTCTGGAATCACAAAATGAGTCGTGGTTAATGTATTTAATTTATCAAATTAATTAACAACGTTTTTTAATTCAATAAATTAATTAAAAAAAATAAAAACAAACAGCTTTGTTATAATTACAGCAGAAATACTGGACATATCCTGCTGTATATAGACGGTGGCTCTTTGAATATTGATTATGGGGGGAATTTTCAAATGAATTTTCAAAAGTCATTGAGTTTCTGAAGTTATTTTTAAACCTTTTAATCTCATCACATTTTGGGTTCATTTATTCATTCACAATTTAACATTCGAAAAAATTAGAAATAAATAATATATAAACATTCATTCTTTATTATTAATTTATTTATTTTTGTTAAGAAAAGAAACCCTTTTTCAGGATACTATATTTTTAAAGATCATTTTATAAAATCAAAATAAGCTTTACAGATCTTTATTAGAAAGTGTTTAAGCAATGTTTTTCATACTTGTTGCATGAGCCGTAAACAATTATTGCACATGCTCCTGTGGAACAGTCCTTAAGACACAGATTACAAGACATATTGTAAGCAGAAGAAAATCAATTTCACAGTTCCAATAACTTAAGACATTAAAGGGACCTTTCTACTGACTCTGAAAAGACACCAGAAGAAAGAACCCAGGGTTCCTGATCACCTGATTAAGTCTGCATTTATATATATTCACCCACAATTAATTAGCCCTTGTGCTGTTCTCGCTTGAAAAATCATATCAGCTGGTCCAGGCTGAGTATTTTCCTGCTGTCCTACTATATAACCAGAGGAGGTCGCTGTTTGAATATTTAAAGCATTATCATCGTGAGCTGCCAGAACCGCGGCCTCCACTGCTGAATCTCATGACAGGAGTCAAGGCTTCCAGGAGGAAACCAGCATGAAGAAATCTGGAAACCATTAAGCAACCTGCTAGAGCTGAGATTTGAAGGAGCGAGAGATAGAGGACGGGAGGGGGAGAAAGGGGGATGGGTTAAAACTGGGAGTGGAACAGAAAGCATGATCAACTTATTTTTCTCCCTTGACTTCAGTCTCTCTGTAGAAAGACACACGTACACAATTCAGCCTTCTTGGGATTCCAGTATGACCCCTCCCATCATTTTTTCCGGTGTCTCCAAATAGGGGCTTTCCTTTGTCATTGCAAACTGGTTTGTCTCAGGGTTCATTTCTCAATTGCTAGAAAGGGTGGGACATGCTGCAAGCGAACAGGAGGGAAACTCGCCCATGGGCTGCAGCTGTTGTCCACCCTTCTGTCATGAGCATAGATGGGCGACACGCTTGGTTTGAAAGCTTGAGTTGACAGTAACCAGACAGCATGTCCTTTCAACCTGTCATCTCCAGCAAATAATGACCACATTCATGGCGCGACACACGTCTGAGGCTTCCCCGCAGAAACAATAAAACAGTTGGGACAGTTCCTTTCCAGTCCATCTCAAAAACATACTGATTAAAAGTGCTGTGTGTGATTTTTCGATGTTAGATACTTTTCTACTACCCCAACTCAATATAAAAAGATCAAGTGTACGTGCAACATTTTCAGCATCATTAGTCCAGTTTTCAGTGTCACACGATCCTTCAGAAATCATTTTAATATGCTGATTTGATGCTCAAGATGCATGTCTTGTCATTATCAATGTTGAAAACAGTTGTGCTGCTTCATATTTTTGTGGAAACGGTGATATATTTTATTTCAGGATTCTTTGATAAAAAGTAAAATGGTTGAAATAGAAATATTTTGTAACATTATAAATGTCTTACCTATCACTTTTGATTTATTTTTTGCATCCATGCATAGTAAAACTATTAATTTATTTAATACATTTTAAGAGGATCTTACTAATGGGTATGTGGTGGTATAAAACAAAAAGGTTAGAAGGTTGGGAAACGCTGGTTTTAATCTAGCTCCAATATGTTATAGCATAAATCAAGACAATAAAAAGTAAGGCTGAACCCGAGTCAGGATTCTCTGTTCCACTCCCTCGCCAAAATACAGTTCACCGCTGATGATATGCAGATGGTCTATAAAGTGGAGATCAGCTGAACTTCTTGGGCTTTCTATGTATGTTTGCATGATCTTGGTGAAATACACTGAGCTCAATATCCATAGTTTTATCCAACATTTCTGAGCAGGGAAGCCAGGCCACGATATCCACTGCTGCAGAAACAGTTTTGCTCTTGTCTTTCGTTTGTTTGCATATCTAACTGCTATGGGCAAAGGGCTTTGAATTTTACAGCCCTTCGGAAAGTGTATTTAAAAAAATATATATAATAAAACCCAAATGGAAAGAATACTCGACTGCACTAGCTGCGCTTGAAACTCTTTTAACAGTAGAACTGCTTTTTCCATCAAGCATTTTCCAAAAGTATTTTTTAGCTGAGAGTGCAGCCGCTCTTGAGTACATGGCGATGGACGACTCCAACTTGTGGTCTGAGAAGGATTGGAAAATGTAAACATACGACAGTTTGGCAGTGACCTCTGACCCTGGGCCCATGGGACCACACACATGGACGAGGAACAGTTTGCTTGAGATGAATGTTTGGCGTGCCGTTTAAGGGTTTTAAAAATGCACAAGGCATTCGGATCTCCCCACTTGTAACCGTGCTTTATGTCTACAGTTTGTACGTATGATTGCGGTTGAGATTCTTTTTTATGTTCGCATTGTAATTCTTTCTCTCTTTCCTCCAGAGTGCCTGTCTGTTGCAATAAGCAGTTTCCTGTATAAATCACACCCCACTGGAGTCAGCTCCAATACTCACTCCTAAATCCTACTTCTAAACTCGCTCCATAAGCATTTGCCACTTTAGTGGAATGGTAAACTTCAAGCGTAAAATGAAAAGCTATTTAATGTACGTTAATAACAGCCTTGCAGACAAAATATAATTTAGTGACATACACTCCATCTACTCTGTGCTCACTTAAGGGCCATTTACACAGAGTGCTTTTTTGCATTTAAAAACATGAAATGTTGATATGAATGATGAGTTTTTACAGATTACAGCATTCACACTGGGAGCAGGCCATGCGGAGTCATGCCATTTTCACCAAAATGAAAACACTTTACACATGAATCCAATATCAGCAACATCAGGACGAGTGAGTTTTTAGCTTTATTTTCTATTCAAAAGCTCCAAAAATTATGTAGCTACAGAAACATTTATTTGGATGCTCTTGTTTCCAATTTGTTTTTTGGAAACAAGACCATCCAATCATTGTCCCGTTTCGGAAAACAAGACAGAGGCTAGTTGTATACCTTTTTAGGTTTTTTTGAAGGGAGTACAACATTTGAAAAGTATTCAGTAAGTTAAATATGAGTAATTGAGCTGAGAACAGATGGCTGAAAAGAGACTAGGTCATGAAGTCTCAAATGGTTAAAGGTTTGAATTTTCAGGATGGCATTAACCAGTTTGCATCGCAATATCAAAATCTAAAAGGAAACCTACAGTACATACATTGATTTTATTTCAAAATGTACAAAAATTGCCAAAAATATAAAAAAATATATTTAAGTAAATATTTTCTACCAATATATTTTTGACCATTTTTTTGTATGTTTTGAAAATATTCTGTAAAAATATAAACATATATTTAAAAAGCATTTAAATGTAAACATAAATCTAGTTTTGATCTCTAGTAGGCTATCCACATTTGCATATAGCCTAATTGTCGACTACTGTAAAATTGGAAATGTAATTTGAAATACATATTTTAGTATATGAAAGTTGAAACTAATGATATTTTCTATTTCAAATATATATTTAATTGAGCTTCACTGTTTACAACATAAATTTAGCATATATTTAAAATGTATTTGGGCAACAAATATATAAATATATTTTATTTCTGTAAAGCTTATCAGGGTATACTGTAAAAAGTTAAACTGAATTTGTAAGAATTTCTGATCATATTTTTCAGTTTAGCAAACAAACAAACAAACAAATAACAGAATACATAATTGTTCACAATTATTTTATTTCAGTAGCAACAACAAAAAAAAGGCAAACAAACATTTTTTTTTAAGGTAGAACTTTTAACTTGCATTAGAATGCAGTGTCATGGGCTGCAAACGTGCAACAATCAAATATCTGTCTAGACTCTAGAACATGTTTACATATAAAAACAATGGAAGAGCAGCGCAGTGGAATGCAAAAACTCTAGGCACGGGGCAGTGGAATGAACACAAATTGCAAAGTCTTGAGACACGTTTTTTAAAGTTTCACTTTTTTACCACACCGTGTCATGCTCGAAATATGAGAGTCAAAAACATCCATCTAGTGCATGTTTGCATACAAACACTATGGAAAAGCAGTGCTGTGGTGTCCTGTGTGATTGTGTGAATGCCCCCTGCTTGGTCCGAGTTTGGAAAACTACTTTCACGTTAACCTGAAGGAAATTAAAATATGACATCAAATGGACTCAAAAGCACCCTGAAATCTCTTAAGACTCCTCAGTCCTCAATCAAATGTTTTCCAGGATTTCCACATGTGTTTGACGTTCTGGGTATTGATATTCGTCTCCTCCCACAGATATTGCTGATAGGGCCCATTAAATGCTTCCCCTTTCCCTTTCTTTCATTCATATCTCCCTCCCCTCAGAGGAACCTTCACTGTGTGCTAAATGCATTTAGCAATGCATTGAGCCATGTGAGAATACACATGCCAACACCCAATGTATGTGTTACTCCAAAGTTTTCACCCTTTCCCTCACTCATTCATTTCTTATTATTTTCTGTGGTGTACTTTATGGTTTGTGGAATCTCCTTCATGAACTTGAACAAGGTTCCACCAATAAAAAGACAACACCCAATACATGCATGCTTTCCTGTTTACAAAAGCCACATAATGCAGGCATTGTTTTGCACTGGGGTTGTGGTATGTAGTCTAATATAGAGAAAGCATGCAAGGTGATGATGGGGTTAGATCTGGCCAGGAAGTGGGAGATCACAGGGGGTCACTTGCTTTTGGCATGTATTAAACTCTAACCCCTGCAGAGTTCCACCTCCTTTTCAACCCCACTGCAGCACCATCTGTTTTATTTCCCATAGGGTGTGACTGCAGTTATTGTTATGTAGTGCATGCATAAATTGCATCAAATATGACCAAACATTCTGTGCAACAGATCTGGGACTTTTTGCAGTTTTCTCGAGTGGTGGGGAATTTAAAATGACTTTTGTCAACTGATTACTGTTACACCAGTAGGTGGCGACGAGTGATATTGTGAGTGAGTCATTGAATCATTCAATCAACCGATTTGTTCAAACACACTGATTCATTATTCATTAACTAACTTCCTGAATCTGAATAGGCCTACTTCCTTTCTATGTAGTACATTAATATAGTTGTATGTCTGAGTGCTTTGCATAAAACAGTAAGCAAATAGTATCTGGATGATCTACAACATCCATTACGAAGATTATGAAGTGTGCATCTGGTGTACACTTTTCTATCCCACGAGGCCACAGTAGGGAAGTTGTGAATGACACTTTGGCTTTGTCTAGAACTTTTCTCATTGGTGCAACACAAATACTCTAATGTGTTTAGAGTGAAAGTTACTGAATATTAACTCCGATACTGTATTAATCTGCTAAATCAGGGATGTCCAATCCTGCTCCTGGAGGGCCACTGTCCTGAATAGTCCAGTTCCAACCCCAATTAAACACACCTGAACCAGCTAATCAAGATCTTACTAGGCATACTGGAAACTTCCAGGTAGGTGTGTTGAGGCAAGTTGGAGCTAAACTCTGCAAGACTGTGGCCCTCCAGGACTGAGTTTGGACACCCCTGTGCTAAATAAAAGCAATATCACACTCATAACTGTGCATGAGGCTGCAGATATTCGGAACAATGTCTCTCTTTGTATACCGTATACTGATTTATTAATTGATTGATTGATTTCCATCCATTTCTTTCTTTTTTTATTGCTGTTTTAATCAAATAATGTGTCAGTGTGAAGATTTTAAAAATGTGGATAGTATTACTTCTAGTTCATTTGTCACATTAGAAATGGAAGGCCATGTTGAATACATAGAATTGTGGGATTTTTCCTTTCAAATTCTTTCTTTTTTATATTATACATCATCCAGGTATTTCATGCATATACAAACTGTTTGCATACTGCGTAATATAGTAGTATGCAAAACAACATATGCACGTTTAAAATAGCATCTGCTGTTTACAGAACTGGCCTGTCTTGGTTTTCTACTTAATATGAACTGTACATGGTCTAGAAATAAATATTGTTCAACACAGGAAGAGAGGAAGACTGAACATGAATCTACTTTATAATTCTCTTCTAACAGAAGAATTTCTTCCTGATTCTCTCTTTGATCCCCGTGACGTTTCTCAGGCTCATGTATGAGCGGATGGCTAGCTTATATTTACACTTTCTCCAACTCTCCTCCCAGAGGGTAAATCAAAGGATGTTGTTTTTATATTTCAGACTCCTGTTACTTGCGAGAGGCCCTGCAGCTGGCAGGGCTGGGCTCTGAAGCCACTGAGCATTCCTTCAATGGCTTTAAAAAGCACATAGTGTCCACTCTGTGCATAAGCATGCTGATCTTACATTAACATTAATGCTGTTCATTAACATCAACTCTGGCTCAGAGCAAAACACAGACTTTTCCATTACTGCACACTGTTTCCTGTTTTTACTTGCTCTACTCACGTCCTCTCTCCAAGATTGCACACAATGAGATGGATTGTCTTTTAGAATCCTTATTTTATCAGTCCAAGTCCTTGCTGCGAAATAATTGGCATCCTCTCGGTCTGTCCTGTTCCACAGGCTGACGTCTTCCCATCGCTGGGCTGGCTGAGGGAGGAGGAAAAATACTGGGGCGTTTGACATTTCACTGAGTGCTTCATACCAGCTCACCAAGGCATCTGTAAAGAGTCAGGAGTAAATCACAGCTGGGATAAGATGTATTGCCAAATGGGCGCAGGTTTGTGAGTGCACTTGTACAAAGGGGACATGAAAAATGAAATCATCATGGCATTTGGGCAGTCATACAAGGGAGACTTATCCTGCTTTATCAAAATGTCCTCAGTTTAGTGGATTCTGTCAAGCCGTGGCAATCTTCAGATGTTATCATATGTTGAATAATTCAGGGAAAATATCACATGTTTGAAAGCAAAATACAGAAGTGGTTTTAACCACCTTTATACTGAGATATTTTTGAGACCTTAACTCAACCCCAGCTCCTAAACATAACAAGGGATTTGGTTACTCTACACTTAAAAAAATAAAGGTTCTTTAGATTATTTAGATTGTTAAAATGTTCTTAGAACTAAGAAAGATAAAGACAATTGTTTTTTTAAGAACTGCCCTATAAAGTCATATATTTGGAATGCATTCATTTCATACTAAGTATAGTTCAAATCTATTAACATATTTACTGATATCGCTCGAGACTTACTGATATAAAAATTCCAATTAAACTTTATTTGGAGTACTACTTGTGCACAATGCATATTTCTGAATATTAAGCCTAAAATGTGTTATAATGTCACTATTGATGAGGATTGTATGATCTTTGAGTAATATCGGTTTTTAAATGCAAGATATTTAAAGTGTACCTGAAGTGTTGCAGTAGTTCCACGTTAGCACAATCAAATATACTTCGGTATATCTTTAGTTGGACTTCAGCACTACTTCTGCACAATTAAAGTGCATTAAGTACAAAATTAGTTGTTCCAATTTAGCAGACTTTAAGTATACCAGTTCAGTATACCAAAAGTACAATTGCATGGTATTTTTATTAAGTATATATATATATATATATATATGTAAATGTATTTATACATAAATACATTTACATATATACACTTAGCATAAAAATAAATTTATTTTAAATACATTTTAGTATATTTATTTTTCAGTAGGGTGTTTACTGAAAGATTCTTTGGGTAACCCTTAATGGTTTTTCTGGCAATGCTGCAAAAACCCTCTTTTGAAACATTTACTTTTAAGAGTGTATAATAAATAAATAAATAAATACATACATAAATAATGTATAAAATAAAATAAAATAAAATAAAAATACTTTTTACCCTGAAGGCATTTTTGAGTGTAAACCCTCCTTTTAGAGTTGAACAATTTTGGCAAACACTTGAACAATGTGAGTGTTCGCTCTAAAGTATATTCTTTACACTCAAACCACTTAAATTAACCATAAAACAAATAGAGTTAATTGAGTTATTAGTCCATATCACAGTACTGTTAGGATACATTGTGCAGTCCTACCTGAAATATATATTTCACGTTTACTGAAGCCTTGGATTCTTGCTCATTTCACATCGAGATGCATATCGCATCAGCCTCAGTTATGAGAATGCACATCCCGATTTCACATAGATGTTAGCCAATCGTAAAAAAGTGACTATTTGCATACAGTCTTAAACGTACATTATAAAAAATAACCTGTTTAACAAAAAGGGTCGGCATAAGGGTGAAAAGTGAGGGTAAATTGCTATGACATTTTTTTTGTGCAAAAAACGTTGAGTAACATTTTTAGGGGGTTTAATGGTGGAAAATAATACTAAAAAAGCATTTGTAGCAGAATACGGCCCCTTTAATATTTGCTGGTATGTGTATATAGTATGTGTACATGCCTCAGTGATGAAGATCTTTCTCTGCCTGTCTGAAATACAAACATTTGAACTCTTGACTCCTGGCTAGCGCTCATGTGATTTAATTCATCATCTTATTCATCTGCGTGCAAATTAATTTCGTCAAACTTGCATGAAGGCATGCAAGTTCAATCATAAAACATTCTTCTCTTTTAGGATAAATAAAATGTAGAGAGTTAAAACAGGCATATTTATTTTCTCTTTGGGAGGCTGATCTTGGGGTACATGACACCCAGAATTCCTCCCCAAGCAGCTCACTTTCGTTTGACCTTGAAAAACATGTGGCGATGTTAAAACACCTTCATTTCATTCATCTGCCTTCATGCCACAACACAGAAAAGATTAATTAGATCAGCATGTGGGTGTGAAACCCCAAAGTTGAGTGAAGCCACTTGAGGAAAATGTGACCGCAGAGAAGAAAGGATGAAACTGATTGTGATTTGTGGAATGTGTCTTTGGCTCTCGTTCCTCTGTCTGTGTTTATGAGTGCGTTTTGCACAGATCTGCATGTACAAAAATAAAGGTTCCAAAAGCGGGTTTTTCACAGCGATGCCACAGAAGAACCATTATTGGTTCCTCAAAGAACCTTTCAGTCAAAAGTTATTTTGTCTTAGTGTGAAGCACATTTTAATAATCTAAAGAACCTTTTGTGGAATTGAAAGATTCCATGGTTGTTAAAGGTTCTTGATGGAACCATAGATTTCAATACAGAACCTTTCTTTTTTTAAGAGTGTACATCAGTATGTGTGTTTTTAATTAGCACTTAATTGTTCTCCAGCATCAGTGAGTGTGTGTCAGGCAAGCAGGGTGGAGTAGGGTCATGCAAAGTGGGACGGGTGGAGGCAGGGTGTTGTCACTGCTCTTTCGGCCAATGGGGCGTGTGGAAGGAGTACATGAGGACAGTGAGATGTTTAATCCTTACCAGTACACACTGCTTGGCTTTAAAGAGATCATATCGTGCTTTATTATTTCATTTTCCCCTCTGAGGTCCACTTACAGGTGCATCTCAATAAATTAGAATGTCGTGGAAAAGTTCATTTATTTCAGTAATTCAACTCAAATTGTGAAACTCGTGTATTAAATAAATTCAATGCACACAGACTGAAGTAGTTTAAGTCTTTGGTTCTTTTAATTGTGATGATTTTGGCTCACATTTAACAAAAACCCACCAATTCACTATCTCGACAAATTAGAATACTTCATATTTTCCACGACATTCTAATTTATTGAGATGCACCTGTATAATTAGTGTTAATCCTGTCAGCGAAATTACTGACAAAAATGTTGGTTGCTGAAGGGCTGTTTGATTTCATCAGTGATTGGATTAACATAATTAAATAATAGAGTACGTTTACATGGACAACAGTAATCTGATTTTAACACGATTAAGACAATACTCTGATTAAGAATCTACCATGTAAACAGAGATTTTTTATGACCTTAATCCGGCTAAAGTCATATTCGAAGTAAACAGAAATCAAATTAAGACATGTGGAGTATTCCTATTTTATTCGCATTACTGAAGTGCAGTATAGACATGTAAACACCTTAATCAATTATTACTGTCGTGTAGACACGATTAAGACAATACTCTGATTAAGAATCTACCATGTAAACAGAGATTTTTGATTACCTTAATCCGGCTAAAGTCATTTTCGAAGTAAACAGAAATCGAATTAAGACATGTGGAGTATTCCTGTTTTAGTCGCATTACTGAAGTGCCGAATAGACAGCTTAATCACATTATTACCATTGTGTAGGACTTTTCGCCGCATTTTGCGACAGGATACACACACGGCAGTGGTCAACCGTTTGACGGCAAATAAAAGAGCTTCAACACCTCCATCATCTGTATGCACATACAAATAATTAACTGCATTTGAAGCTTTCATAAAATTAAAAATGAAACACCCAAAACTGTACATGGCATCATCCTGAAGACGAACTATATGTTTATACGTGAAATTACGGAAGGGACGTCGGATGGCGTATCGTGGGGATGTAATGACGTGTGCCATTAATCGAACTATGTTCTATAACATGTAAAACGGGAACATGAAAGGAATATTCTAAAAGCAACTCTTACCATAATCAACCATAATCATAATATTGGCTTATTTAGAATAAGGTAAATAATTAGATTACTGATGTCCACGATGTAAATGTAGTCATAGTGTGTTGAGGATTGAGCTGCTTAAGCTGAAAGAGCTGAACTCTGCTGAACTCAAACACTTTGCAAGTGAGTTCATCAGCTCATTCATAAAAGATGAATTGCTGATATTGATAACAGACATAATATCATAACTTACACTACCATTTAAAAGTTTGGGGTTGGTAAGATTTTTTAATGTTTTTGAAAGGAGTCTATTGTGCTCACCAATGCTGCATTTAGAATAGAATTTAATACAGTAAAAACAGTAATATTGTAAAATATTACTACAATGTTATCAGCACAGGTATGCCTACCTGCTAGGCATCACTGCCAGAAGCACCTCCGCTGGTGCCATTGGACCAGCTGCGGAGTCATCAGACGGGAGCCACCCTTCACTGATGTTCCACCCCCTAATCCCGGAACATCTCAGGGTGGTGGACAGCTCCCTGTCAGCCCCCGCAGCTGGTCCTAAAGAGGTTATGGTGATCTCAACCGGGAACCTCAGCTGGCAGTCAAGATCAGCTGCCATGCTCCACTCTCCTCCCGGTGACAGGAGAGACCGCTCCTTCAGCCTGCTGCTTTGGCTCTCTTCCCCTTGTCTGACAAAGTGGATCTGCTGCTGAGATGTTACTGAATGGACCCTGTTTGCCTCCAGTCTGCACGTCTCCAGGACTTCCGCAAGGGAGGAGCAGAGATGACAGTTCTCTTTCGATCCATACCACAATTGTAGGTTCTGGGGGCTGGGAAGCATATCATACGTGTCCCTTATGAGAAAACTAAGCCTTGCATGGGGAATCTTCCACATATCAGCCCACGTGATGTTCCTATTGATAGCTTCCCAGGTTGTCCATCTGCCTTGCTGGTGTAGCTGCAGAGCTCTGATCTTGTAACACTCCCCCTCCATCTTTGACACTTCTGTGATCACCAGATCTTTCCTTTCCTTTGTGGATGCTTTGGATGACATTTTAGGTGCAGATCCCCATCCAAGCCCTGTCCTTCCTGGCTGTGAGAACCCAACAATCTCCGGATGCTGTAGTTGGTTGATGGCCTGTACCACTGTCTACGTCACGCTCCACTTGCGTCCTGTGTAGATCTGCGCTTCAGTGTTTCTCACAAGAAGGTCGGGTGAGTCTCTTAACTCAAATAGCAGCCTCACTTTCT